TGGCTGGAGGAAGGAAGGAAGGAAGGAAGGAAGGAAGGAAGGAAGGAAGGAAGGAAGGAAGGAAGGAAGGAAGGAAGGAAGGACCTCTCAACGTGATTAATCCCCCATCGGTTTCTCTATCCCTCCAAGATCTTCTCCATTCCTCCTGCTTACCATGACCTATCCTTCTGGGGGAATGGGCAATTTTCTAACCAGGCATCATTTTTATCTCCTAAAATGCCTCTGAAGCTAAGACCTTCCTAGCAATGAAATGGTCACAAAACGGTGCATGCCAAGACATGTTTCCATGGCTGTGGGCATCAGGTTTTCTTCGGGTCTAGCAACCTGGGTCCTCTCCTAGCTCTCCAACATTGAAACAATAAGCCCCAAGCTTGAATCCTGGCTTAAGAGATTTGGTTTTCAAGCCATCAGGAATATTCCCTTTCTCTTAAAAGGCTCTTGAAAGTCTCTTAGCCTTTGCCCCCCCCCCCCGGCTTTCAGCCCCCCTCCCCGTGCTTTTTCTGCAGCCTGGAGATGAATGCCAGAGTGCCCTGCACAGTTTCTGAGCTTCACGTCGCTATCAAGGGTTTATCAATCCTATTTTAGAAGCACATTGATCTTTGCAGAAGATCTAATCCAAACTATGAAGTTCAATAACTCTATTACCTGCCAGGTTGTGATTGGAGACGCGTAATGCTAAGATTAGTGGCAGCCTAGCTGCCCTGCCAACATTGATTTGAACGGTGGAATTGCTTGTTTAACGGGAGGAAAAAAGGGGGGAACAAAACAAAGAGCGGAGGAGAAGGAGAAAACGGTGGTTGCTGGGCGATCAGACAATTTTCTTTTTCTTTTTAGTTGTGTCAGTCTGCCCCCTCTGCATTGTCCGGGCAACCTCAATGCTTGCATCACATACCTGTGTGTGTTAGAGGTTGTGTAAGAGAAAGGGTGGGGTGTCAAAGGTCTACCTCCTTTATATTTCTAAACTAAACATTTACTGGGTGGAAACATTTTGGGACCCCGTGGCTCCTAGGTGGAACTACGTTGTTGATCCAGGATAAGGAACCAGGTGGTCTCCAGATGTTTAGAAGGACAGATCCCATCATCCCTGTCAATTAGCCATGCTAGTTGTTGCCTATTCCAGTGGTTGCTGCATTGTCATAGAGAAACATCACTAGTGGTCCTTGATGCTCTCTGAGCTTGCTTGTTTTCTCGCAGATGTTTCATTACCCTAACTAAGTAACATCTTCAGTGCTCCAACGTCAGTGATGATGTTATCTAGTCAGGGTAATGAAACATCTACAAGAAAACAAGCAAGCTCAGAAAGCACCAAGGACCCCACAATCCTCTCCTCCTCCTCCTCTTTCTTTCCACAAACACCACTACCTTCTAGCACTGATGATGTTACCTAGTTGGCTACTGAAACATCTGCAAGAACATAAGCAAGCTCAGAGAGCAGCAAGGACCCCACAGTCCTCTCCTTCTTCTCCTCTTCTTTCTCTCCACAAACACCACTACCTTCTAGCACTGATGATGTTACCTAGTTGGGTAATGAAACGTCTGCAAGAACACAAGCAAGCTCAGAGAGCACCAAGGACCCCTCATGTCAACCCTGGCCTACAAATATTCTCCTTCATAAGCATCAATACGCTAAGGTCATCTAACTATTGGACCACAACTCTCGCAGGGCTGGTCCACGGGATAACTATGACCTGGATGACTGAGAATCTCCACAGACATTGACTGTAGTCTTGGTTGAAACGAAGTCAGGAGGCTGAATGTGGGAGTAAGATTCTTCTACAAGGCCCCACCTCTGAAAGGCTGTGTTCAGACAGCTGGTGACTAATTCAGATGTGTAGTTTGCGTTGGTCACTGCAGGGATGAACTTGGATCAGCTTCTAATCATCGTAGTTGTTCCTTTTTGCTGTGGGACCACGTCTTTCTCCTCCTTTCCCTTTTACATCCATTACCTAAAACTAAGCACGGTAGTTCTAAGGATTTCAATGATAATTATAATGGAGATTTTAAAGACCAACGCGTGGCTTTCATGTGTTGGGTGATTTCCCA